TTAAACATCTACAAGTCCATCGACTCAGCCACCTTTCGGTTCTCGTTCCTTCCGTTCAATCAAGTCAAGGGGGACTTCATACTGATCCTAGCTCTTGCGAGCAACAATCTAAGTGTGTTTTCGCCACAGGGTCCCACTCAAGGCTGTGGCGCGATCCCCGTCAAGGGGCGCCGCACGTGCACAGACCCAGATCCTGGGGGATACCATGCCGCAGGGCTCACTGTGATTCATACTCCAGTCCGGAACTTTTTGGATTGACTGTTCTTGCATGATACCTGATACGGTCCCGCAGGGCTTACTGAGATTGTGCCGCAGGGCTTACTGAGACTTGAACTGATTCGGAAATGCACTTTCATGTCAGTCTAAGTAACCACGGGCAGGGCTTAGGACGCGGGCATGTCAAACTACTGACTTTTGTTGCATGTGCTTTTCACGCTCTTCGGTTCTTTCTGCCTTTTTGCTGCTTTTCGTTTCTTGAGGCCTCTCTTTAGGTTCCAGGTGTCTTTCAGACAAGGGGTCCGCCGGCCCAAATCGGCTTTACCTGCACGCCAACGATGGCAGTGCCTACGGGCCACCCTAACCCACCCTCCCCCCTACCTCCCTGCCCCTGGGCCTCGGTTGCTATCCCACCCGCTATTCGGGCAACAGAAGGAAATCGCACTCAACACACTTGTGCGTTGGTGCCTTTCCTTCTGTTTCTCCTACCCTATTGCTAGCTACCTGGGCGGTTTAAGACAAAACGTCCCGCTCGCGTTCTACTTTCATTTAACTAAGTGGGCCTCGTAACTACACCTATCTTTCCTTCTGGCCCTCTTAGTCTGCTTTTGTTTGGTTTGCTTTTTCTGTCTTTCTAAGGCTTTTTAGGTCGCTAGTAGTTTTCAACAAAGCGCCAATATTGGCGCTATGTGTACAAAGCTTTGCGACCGGCGGACACAAACGACGCTACTAGGGGCTTCTGGCCTCGCTACCAGGAGCCAGGACGGTACTACCGGGGCTTCTGTAGGGACGCTACTAGTGGCTCCTGGCCACGCTACTAAACTGCAAGCAGGGGACAGTGCGCCAGTACGGCTTCGTGTGTGTGTCCACACCTGCGCCTAAGGTTTTGAGTCACAAAGAACGCTACTAGGCCCTCTGGTTTTGCTACTAGGGGCTCCTGGTATCGCTACTAGCATATAGTTTCTCAAGGTGCTGGAGTGTGCTTCAGATGTCTCCAGCCAACGAAGACGCATCTGTCGCACAGTGATATAGTTCTGGGACGCCAGAAACTACGTACCTGCCATTTTCAACTGTTATCAAGCTGTCCAGTACGTTGTTTTCCTGCAGTAAAACGGCTAATGCATTTCCAAACGTTGTTAAACATCTACAAGTCCATCGACTCAGTCACCTTTCGGTTCTCGTTCCTTCCGTTCAATCAAGTCAAGGGGGACTTCATACTGATCCTAGCTCTTGCGAGCAACAATCTAAGTGTGTGTGAATTTTTTGGTTTCACTACCAGGGGAGCGCGGCATGATTGTGGGACCGCGCTCAACGAAGCTACCACAATCATGGGACACCGGGTCTGATCAAACTCGGCGTACCTGCACCTGTGTTGTGAATGCCTCAGCCATGCCCCAATCGTAAGGCTCTTGCAAATTGATTCAGGTCCTGGCTTCTTTGGTTTTTATACCTAGGTGGGCATATGGCATGTGGCATTCAATTTCCGTATGAACTTTCCGAGTGTGTCTGGCCCAGCCCGGAGTGAGCCCAAAGAGTTCGCTCCGTGGCGCCGTTGAACGTGGGTTTGTCTCCTCCTCCCGGCCGGAGAGCAGAGTAGCTCGCAGCGAGCGTAGGAGGCTAATGAGAAACGTTGATTTGTAAGCCCTGACGACTCGGATCCTTCTTGAGCAAGCTGAATGCCATGATTAGCCCGCAGAGTAGGCTGAATGCCAGGAGTAGGCCACAGCGGCCGTAGTTCACTCAAGACCCATATTGGAGTCTGTCGGGGCCTTTGGTGCACACACAATATGTACATAAACCAGGCCACTTCCACCTAGGTTCGTTCTAATGAGGTGTGGCTCGTTTTTCCGGCCCCTTGATTTGGTTCCCCCTTTCATCCTTTCTTCCCCCCGCACACTTTCTTTTTTGTCTTTCTTTTCATGTCTTTCCTGGCTTCATGTTTCGTCATCTCATCCTACACTGGTTTGAGGTCGCCCAGGTTGTCATAATGAGGTATGGCATCTGGTTGCTCCTGGTCACTTTGTTCCTTTTCACCGCAACCACCTCAACTGTCTTGTCTTGCCTTCCTCTCATGTCTTCATCCCTTTGTCCTTTAGGCGCGCACACCTACACCTTAAGCCTTAGCCTTGGTCTGGACCCTTGTGGGACGCACCACACTCATGGGATACTGAGTCTGATCAACTCGGCGTACCTGCATCTGAGCTGTTTAGCCATTCTCCAGTCATAGGGGTCCTCAGGCTGCTGCGGGCTGGTTCAGGTCTGCAGATGTGCATTCGTCCCTCGGAACTTGCTGGTCGACTTCCGGCTTCCTTTTTCGAGAACTTTGAGATCTTTGGGGTTCAGGGAGTCCTTCATGTTTAGAACGGGGCGTGTGGCATGTGGCACTCAACTTCCGTAGGAGCTTTCCGGAGTGTGTGTGTGTGTGTCTCCAGGGGCACTATTCTACTTGCCTCTAAGTCTACCTTCTAATCTACCTTCTTAGCACGCGGTCTTGGAGTCACCACTCAATGAAGACACTCCTTGAACCGCGGTGATATCCGGAAGGGGACGCCTTCTGGACGTACCTGCACTTGAAAACATTCTGAAATCTGTGATGATTCTACGTAAAAGAATCAATGCTGTCTCATTCGTTGTTTTGCAGTAAAGTGCTAACGCTCTCGGCTAATGCAGTAACATAAAGGGCTAATGCTCACCGCGCATCTCTGAAGTGCAGCTCCGCGGAGCACCCATCTTAAGTGTGTGTGCATGCAGCCCTTGGATTCAAAGGGAGCCTTCTGGCTTGTCTGGGGTTTTTCACATGAACTCTGCTTTTCGTGCTTCTGAACCTATAATTTTCTAAAGCAGGGATGGAGAGACACCTGTATTGCTTCTCCATCAACGAAGCTGGCAATACATGGTGAGGATGTCAGTTCTGGACGCTGGTCTCGTGATCGCCGATGGTTTACCGTCTTGTTGAATGAGCTGTTTTCTTGAATGATTCCATTGTCAGATTGATTTCATAGCTTAAGCCTTCAAACTTACTGAACTACATGAATTCTGTGGTTGGACACCGCCACTTTCACCTGACGTCTTAGGCTTCTTTTACCTAGGCCTCTTCGCATGACAAGCTGTCTACTTTGGTATCGTAATGTCACCCAGCACACACATCACAAACCAATTCACAAATGTGGAGACTCCACATTTAATAGTGATCTTGAAAACTCTGTGCGAGCTCAGACACTGGGATGATCAAAGTGCACAAAATCCCCACCGTCAGTGAGAGGATCACTGTGACCATCGCCAAAAAGTAGGACTTTTCCCTCAGACGCTGCGGTGCTGACACCCAATAGCACCAACTGGTCGATAGCCCTCAAGTGCACCTGGAAGAATAATATGTATGTATATATATATATACAGTATATATACAGACAAAGAAAGTCCAACACAACACAAGCCCATCAGACACTCCACCATACTAGGGGTTTTGTGCAAGAAAAGAAAGGTTGCACCACTTCTCTAGAGGAAGCACAGGCCTTTCCAGCTTCACAGTGTGACAAGCGTCGGGTCCACAAAGTGGTGATAGATAATATAACTCAGCCTCAGAGAAGCTTGGAAATCAAGGCATCTGCTCAAAACAGATTGGTTTCACATGACTCTTCCAAGTCAATGTGTGTATATATATATACACTCAATTCCAAAAAAAAAAAGAAAATATATATATATATAGTGAATATACACAAACGTGAAAGATGTAAAGAGTGAGAAGGCCCTCGACATCCCTCGACCCATCAAAGTCCACAGTGAGAGACCGCCACTAGCAGCATTGAAAATGCAAAGCACTACACACTCTAATAGCGATGGCCTCCAACCTTCATTGAAAAAGCAAAGCATTACAAGCACATTCTTGAGGTTCCAACAATAGCAAGCCTAGCATGGCTGCAGCGAGCACGAGCCATGGGTAAAGACCAGCCATCACCTGAAGGGAGTCGGGCAGACTGGGGCTGAGTCTGCTAATCTCTCAGATCTTCTCACATCTTCTCTCCCTTCCAAATCGGACATCAAATCACATCAACCAACGATGTCATTCCCAACGTCCGCATCAACCCGTCTCATCCTGACAGGTTTCTCGACGGGTCGAATCTTTTGTTCGCCTTCACAGGTCACCGGAGCTTCCATCGGTGGGATCCGGCACCGACCCTCCTTTCAATGACCCGAGAGACGTCGCCCAACGGCGTTGTTTCGCCCTACGGCATCTTGAGGTCAGTAATGGTCATTGGATTCTTTGGAGCTTTGATTCTCTGTTGTCTTTGATTTGGAGCCGTCCACAAACAAATGCAGGAAACAAACTGATGCTGTTACTGTAACAGCAACTACCTCAAAAAAGAGTCAAATTGTGGGTGAAAGTGAAAACTTTCTTGTATTGGTTGTTTACTTCCTGTTTCAGCAATAAAGCACCTGGAATAACCGAACGTTTGTTGATGAGTTTCTCCATGTCTCTCCCCTTTGGTGCACTTCCCTCGCATGTTCAGAGCAATCGATGGCTCGAGGAAGGCGAAAATGCTCTCAGCATGTCACTCACAATTGCACTCTGTCTCTATATGCCCACCGAAGTTCAGCGCAGAGCTCCCGGGTTTCTACGTGTATATATATATACACATGTGTATGTGTGTATATATATATATATATGTGTGTGTGCATGGGTGTCTTGCAAGCACAGTGATTCCCTCTCCCGGAACACAGGGTTTGGCACTTGGATGCCTTTGCCAAAAATAGATCATCAATGCATATCTGATCCGGATTCCTGCCTTTCTCTCTCTCCAGCTCCATGTGGTCCATCTTGGCTCCAACACCGTCCTTGCCCCTCACCTGACGAAGATGCGAGATCTGTTGGCTGGGAGGACAAGGGGCGCAGCAAGCCGCGCAGCGCAGATTATTTGGCAGGCACACTTGCCTTTTCGGTTGCCAAGCGACCAGAAGCGGGATCTAGGCAAATCCACTAGTTCGTGTGTGGATTCAGAATCAGTGATTTGAACGGTCCTATTGGCCCTATCCCATTATGTCCACATGACTCAGCGACAAAGCTCTCTTTTGTGGGCACGTCGGGCACCAAGGGTTTGCTCCATGGCGACATCACCAGGGCAACAGCTCGGCTCTGAGTTCTGAGTTGCTCTGTCCACCGCAGTTGCTTCGTGCACCGTGCAATGCCATCAATAAGCAACACCATTTGCATGGAAGCACAGATTTGGGCTCAATTGCTTCTAGTGGAATACCTTGAACAACATCCTGTCCGATGACCTGGTGACCATTTGCGACTAAACCGCGGAACCGAATCAGGACGGCTGAGTACCCGAGACCTACGCTCCTCCCGCCACCCTGTACTGTAACACGTCTTTGAGCTCAGAGTACATATCAACTGAAGTAGTTTGGCATTGTAAATGCAGCAAGCCAATGAAAACAAATGACAGTCCAACAGTTCAGTCTAAGCTCGATCGGCCTCATTCACCATCGCGAGTTGAACACAATTAAAAGTATTGGAGAATAATTCCCTTGACATGTGACGCAGTAAAAAACCAACACTCGAGGATGGAACTCCTTCATTCATCTGTCCCATTTCAAACATGCAAGAATGACTTCAAGCTGCACAAACTCCTTGCTGAGCGAAAAATAGAGATCCACCCTTTGAGAGGGCAAGTTCCAAGCTGAGGATGGTCATAACAGGTCGTGACAACTGTTGCATGACGTCTCATATGCACTGCAGTGCCCCAAGCCTACAAACAAAAAAATAGTAAGCAAACTTCCTTCATTCAAAGACATCTGACATAGGCCATTGACATTATATCATGGGATGCTTGAGTATTCTATCAGCCATCCCCAGCTTTTCAGCCCTCCACCCCTTAAGATCATTGAACGCAAGGATGCAAGTCTGGTATTGCACACAGTGTGAGTGAGACAACCCGCTTTCAACTGGCATTCTGCTCAGTCACTGTGTGTTTTCCTATCGCAGTCTGCTTGCAGCTCTCTGGTGGCTTCGACCGACTATATAGACAATGCATGTCCAATGCCCCTCGACGATCTCGAGCCTTGCTCTACAATAGAATTCTAAGAGAGTGCTCGATCTGGTCAAATACGGGGTCTGACTATGTGGAATGTGTAGAACTGGAAAAGCATTAAACACATAACTGGCCAAACTGGATCAAGGAAACTGAGTGGAATTAACATACATGTATTATCATGTATTGCCTTTTGCTCCTGATTAGGGCAATTGAAAGCTTCTCCTTGAACTCAAAAGTAGAACCTCCAGATTGTCCAAAGAGCTGCATGACTCCAAGGCAACGACAGCAAAAACAAAGGATCGTGGCTATGTCAGGCATGCCACGGCCTTTGCAAGGTTTGTCTTCTACTGATTGAAGCAAGTTCAGTGAGATTATGCTGCTGAATTCGAAGCATGAGAGCCAAAGCTTTCGGACTCACTGCAGTGGTCCTCATCAGAATCAGACCTCGGAATGGCGCAGGAATGGGCCACAAACGGACAGGAAAAGGTTGAAAGACTCAACATTTTGTTGATTTGTCCTTATTGAGTCGGAATCAAACTCTGCATCCGCTCGCTGCTTTTGACCTGCACAAAGCTTGACCTGTATTTGAGGATTGGGGCACTTGCTACAAATCAAAGACCTTTGAAGCTAGATCAGCGTCACAAACACCGGTGCACACTATTCAGAAGTCTTTGCATAGCAAGTGCCGGCCAAGCGCTGCAGCACATTCAGTCTGGACATGTGGTGATAGCTCAGATCAAAGATTCTGTTCCAAAATGTGCAAAATCCAACCGCTTGAATTGGAGGCCAAAAATCAACACAAAAACCGTTGTAAATTAGTAAAAACAATAAATCATGTCATGAACGTACAGAACAGAACAACTTCCGAGCCCCAAGCCCTCGCACCACCTCTCTTAAAAGGCCTTCCCTTCATCTGTACTTGCTTCCGTCATGGGCACGTTTGCCGTCTCTTTGGGCAGCAGGCACGTGCTAAAAAAACCGCTCAAGATGAGCAGCGCAGCGAGAGTGCGTAAGGCATTTGCTGCACTCAAAACTTCAACGTATTGCGCAGACAATTTCAGTGACAAAATGGATGCAAAGCGCATGACTGCCATTGCCACACTGAAAGCCGTAGCTCGTATCTGCGTGGGGAACACTTCCAAAGTCCACATCTGAGCCGATTCCCAGGCAAAACACCGGCAAGCTGAACTCAACGTACCACAAGCCACAGCCTGTGCAGTTGAACATGAAAGCGCGCAATACAAGTTCTATTTTGGTCTACCTCTTACCGCTTTTACTCTTGTCGAAACTAGATTCAATCTGAAGTCATCAAAGTTTTTTACTGCTTATGGCTTTGCAAACTACAGCCGCTCACATAATAGCCAGCCATGTGACCAACATGTAAGCGGGCGTGCTTCTGCCCAAGCAAGTCAAGGCCGCCAGCAAAGATCCCTGGACAAAGAAGCCGATCACAAAGCTTCCGCACCGCCCAATATGATCAATGAGAAAGATGGACAGCACCTCAAAAATTGATTTTTTGCCCGTGGTCAGCTGCTCAATGACACGAGCTGACAAGGCATCGTTTCAGTCGGACATCGTTGCCACACCTGCCTTCTAAAAATGAGGGAGGAACGCTTGGCAACTTCAAAAGTTGTCATACACAAGATTGGTACCTTAATTTTGTGTTCACATATAAAAAAAAAAAACATATACATATACATACACAAATTGCGTGGAGTTCAGCCGTGAAAAGGAGTGACAGCTGGACACTAAAGGGTTCGGGCTCTTCAATGGGGCTTGTGCCCCACCCCCAACACATGGGGTAGAAGCTTCCTTGAAGGACCCTTCGCAGGATCTACGTCCTAGTCGTTTTGGGGAGAAATAAGTATTTGAGTACTGGTAGGACACTAGAAAGAATTGAAGTAAAAACAACATGCTTGAGGCTTGATGTCATTCAAGGCACAATGCCAGCTAGATCCCCCATGTTGAAAAGCATCAGGATTCGATGTGGGACTACTGCAGCATCTGGAGTAAGGAGTTGATGGTACAAATGAGGACCCCATGTGTCCAGCAAAACAGTGGTGCTGGAGAGCATCATAAAAAGCAGTGAAGCGAAGATCCTCAGGGACAAGTGAAACACAAGCCATTTAAAAAAAAAGAAGGTGCAAAAGGCAAAACAAAGCGTCCCCGCTTTGCCAAGGTTCAGCAGGTTCCGATTTTCTCGGTTCAGCAACAGCTCTCTGGCTCGAGATCTGCCTTCCACTGGCGAATGCATTTCAGGCGACACTGCTCGATTCTCCTTAGTGATGCGCTCGAGAAAAAGCACTTGCCCCAAAAAAAGCCAAAAAACAACGACCTCGCGACTCGCGACTTTTTCAAAATATATAATCGGTGTCTGGATGTGTCTACTATCAAAGAAAGTTAATCTTGGCAGCCAAAGCCTCCCAAGATCCTCGCTGGGTGCTCTCGTACATTCTTTTCAGAACTTGAGCAGCATCTCCCGATCGGCCAGAAGCGGCCAGAAATCTTGGAGACTCATCTGCTAAGAACAGGGACACAAACAGGACCATAAAGCCCACCATTGACACGTCCATGAAGTGTGTCCACTGCTCCTGCAATATAGAGCTTAAATTGAGAGCCTTCGTATGAGGAAGGCAGCAGGGAGCCCGTGAGGAATCATCGGTCGCACCGGCTCAAGGAGACTCTTGAATTGAAGTCAACTCCCTAGTAGTTTCTTGCTCCTAGTAGCGATGCCCCTTTGCTCCTAGTAGCGTCCTTTCTCCTAGTAGTAAGGCCAGGAGCCCCTAGTAGCGTCCTTGCCCATAGTAGCATCAAAAGCAGCACCTGCTCTGCAGGCTGCTTCAAGTACAATCCAGTCAGATCATATGAACATTGCAGGGAGTGCCAGGATTGCACGGCGCCGCCATTGGATTGTCAAAGGTGTGTTTTGCTTTCATGGTAGCTCACTGTCAATGAATAAACCCCCTACCTAGGTGGTCCAACGTCTCCATATCGGGGGATTGATTGTTCAACAGTCAACATTATGCTGGCTGCAACCTTTGCGTTAACGACCTGTGTTGGCGGCCTCCTAAGTTGACTGCGAGAGATTAGGTGTTGGATTTGGTTGCCTTGGTCAGTCCTGCTGAGTCCTATCAAAGCAAATTGATGCATCGAGAATCACCCAACCACCCTTTTCACTGTGAAGACAGTGTGCAAATTGCCAGGAGGGGCTGATCTACAATATGTTGCATGACCTCGTCCAAATAACTAGCAAGACCAAGGTTGCTCCTTACTTGCGTGCTTCTGAAACACCTCTGGCCTTGACCAAATATGCGACCAAAATAACCACAGCGCGACCAATGGGCCAACCTATGCCATAAGCTGCCATGAGCATGCCGCGCGTGCTTGTAGGCAAGAATTCGATGTACCAGGCAGACCTGAGGTCCGAACAGCTGTCATTGTCATGAACTGAGAGCTCAAGAACCAAGCTTCCTCGCTTTTTGCAAGTCAAATAAAATGAGGAATCCTTGAGTTCTCTGACAACAATTTGGTGCCCAGTGGCATTCCCGTCAAGGCGATTGAGAAGGCCAAAGCCTGCAATGTCCGCAGAATGTTGAGGACCTGGGATTTGACATGATTCAACACTGGTGCACTGCTGTTTCAGGAGTGGGATTGTTTTCTCCTAAGACTGAGACTGAGCAGTGGAAGATATGAGCATTCAACCTCAAACTTCTTCAACCTTGCTGACAAATTCAGATTGTTGGCATTGCTGTAGCAATTTCGATGAAGAAGAAGCCCGAGGTGTTCCAAGGAGCTCGAGGAATCCGGACGGGAGCGCTTAAGGCCAATAGATGTAAGCTTCGTGTGGCAAAAGAACATGGTAAATCTCCTGACATCCTCTAACTGCTGCTTTTGTGGCTAGGATGTTCTGGGCCATGCCAGCAGCCAGACTCACAGCTGCAGCCAAAGGCAGAATTGCCAGCAGCGTACCACGCCGGCCTGAGGCCAAGCATCGGACGAGCCAAGAACGAGCTAAAGTCCTTGTAAAAGCTCCTAGTAGCTTCTTGTTCCTAGTAGTAAGGCCAGGAGCCCCTAGTAGCGTCCTTGCTCCTAGTAGCGATGCCCTTTGCTCCTAGTAGCGTACAAAGGCCAAGTTCTTTGGATCATTTGAGATCTGTAGTGTGGCGCTCCATCAAGTTCTTTTCTGTGGAAAGCACAGTGGAACATTTTGCACTGAGGCTCCCAAGTGGTCAAGCAGTGGAGACGCCGCAAGAGCTCCAGCTGCACAGCCCAATGGAAAGCTCGCTGCGAAAGTGGCCTAGAAAATCAGCCGGGTGCTCCACGAATCCAAACAAGAAAACCTCACAATTCAAAACCAGGAGATCCCTCGGTTTGACGTGGAAACGTTCACAAACATGTTCACCATTGTTCACCCAAGACAAGAATTCTTCAGCAGTGTTCGACCTGAAGAACGGATGTCCAAGCTTCAACCACCAAGCCAAAGCGGACAATTCATTTTGAAGGTCTGAAGAAAAGGTCATAAAGTAACAAGGTCTAACGGTTTAAGGGAAGTATTGAAAAGTACCTGAAAATCCAGGCCAGAATTGTTCACAAGTATGCCAGTGTTCAACCCAGGATGTTGCAGACTTTAAGCACCCAAGTGGCAATGCTGTCTTCATCCACGTGAAAGGTCGCCCTCAGGCCTGCAATCACTCTGCTGAAACCGCAGCTCCACTGAACCTTTCCTGTGGTCATTTCGTCAGTCTCATAGGAGATTTCACTAGTGGGTCACCTTCTATGTTGTTGCATCTGAAAAGCCAGAACCTCCTAGGCATCCTCAGGATTGGCTCTGACTAATCCGTCGGTCAGGACTTGATTGTAATGGTGGAGAATGTCCGTGTCCACACCTTGGAAGACGTAGGGCGTGCTCTCTTGGGTTGCTGCGAAGATCACCCATGCCAAAATCATCCGCAACAAGTGTTGGACATGAAATCTGCCAACATCCAGTTGATCAAGGGCTTCAGCCACAGTTGTCCTCCTGCCTTGGTTTCGCATGAGTACATATCTAAGTCATGCACGGTCAAACTTGGTCCACTTCAAATGATTGCCACTCCCAAACGTAGCTCCGGCTTTGCAGCTCTGCAGTCACAACTGCCAAGGTCTGGCTGCTGACTGTGACACTACGTCCCGTGATGAAGGTCATGTCTGGTCCTTCGTGTCGTAAGAAGGGTAGGGGCACCTTTGTGGCCTGGGTTGAGAAGTGGCTGTGCGTTTACCGGTGGGAACACTCTGGCAAAGTGTGCCTGTACCTGATTGAGGAACCCAACTGGGAAGTACGCTGGCAAATTGTTAGCCGCAAAGTTGGAAGCGTTTCCTTACTGGGCAACTGGTTCCTGTCCATGCTGGCAAATAGGCTGCGAATGGTGCGACCTTCTTCTGCTCCGGCCGCACAGGAAAAGGGACGTCCTCTCCATTTACTGTATACGCCTGAGCCAGAATTCTTTAGAGCGTCAACGTGATGTGATGCTTTCAGCATCATGTACAGTAGTCAGGTGATTTGATGTGTGTTAATTTGTGCATGCCGTGTGTTGATGTGTTGATGTTAATGTGGAGTTTTCTGAGATTTTGTATGACATGTCTGGCATGAGTTTGAGGTTTGGTATGATGCTTGGCTTGCTTCGTCAGCTGGTGTAGGCGAGGAATGCGGACGAAAAGGACGACGAGGACAAAAAGAGGAAGGAGGGTGGCGTACCTGACGTGAGAATCTAGACACCCCAACCTGATGGGTGGAGGAAGAAAGAGTCAAGCAGTAAAGTAGTAAGGTATTGTCTTGTGCACATTCCAACCACACTCCACACATGCTTGCACAGGAACAGCTAGACAATTTCAACCACGCTTTAAAATTCATCAAATGGCAAAAGCCTAAGGCTTTAAGGGCAAAGAAAACCCTCCTGCTCACGTGCGAGTGTCTGCTCTTCTCTCCAAAGAGAGCGTCCTGCTCTGTGTCCTCCTCCATTCTCTTTCCAAGCATCATGTTCAGCAACACTGGGGGCAGCAAACGGCTACAGACATTGCATGTTACTTCATCTGTGCCTCTCGAAGACAAAAGTTGAATCACTCTTGGTTTCACTCTAGGTTTTCAAGTCAGGCAAATCTCAATGGCAGCCATGATGGACCATACCATGCTCGTCGCGGGTTCTACAGTAGTCAGAGCGTTTTGCTGAATGTTGTTCTTTTGGTGGTTATCCTTGAGACAGTGTGGCTTGGAGCTTTCAGCCTCTCGAGGAAGTCGATTCCCCGAAAAACAAGGCTGTGAAAAGGAACATACAAGTACGGTATTGGATGGTATTGGTCAATTTGTTCCTTCGAGGCCTCAGACTTGTTCAGAATTCACAAAGCCCATGCTCGAGGCTACCCACTCGCTGTCGATGCTGAAAGGCAAGTCCTCAGATCGTCGGAAAGTGAGACACGTAAACGAAAGTTGCGTTTTGCATCGTCTCGTTCGCTTACTGTTTCAGAAAACACGGAGACGATGCACTCGTGACACTCAACCATTCAGGAGGAAGTGGCAGTGCGGCCAAGACACATTGAGCACAGCGATTGCCAGACGAGCATGCTTCATTCTCAACCCCGTCTTAGCTGGGGTCACAATGCTGCGTCTTCCTGCGGCAAAGGGCGTTAAAAAATTTGTGCTGGAATTCTATGGTTTTGAATTCCTTCTTTTTCATACAGCGACTAATGCAGTTTTGCAAAAGACTGTTGACAAAATGCATTCCCAGCTCACCTAGCTCTCTACGCATGTCAATGTCATCCAAGGCAATCCTTGCAGCACAATGCAAAATCGTTCAGGCAATGTTCAAACGTCGCATGTATCTTTCTGAGAAGCAATGTGCACTCTTTAAATGGCCATTAGCAAACCGCCAACAAAACCTACCTTGGCCACTTCCCGCCAATCTCCAAAAAACGCATGGATACTTCGAGCAGGCAAAAGTTTATTATGCTTGTTAACCATGTTCAAAGAACTCTGTAGGGTCAGCTGCGGATCGAATTACCAAGTCCAATTTTCATGGCAGGTGTGGGACGGTCATTATCACACCGTTAATATGTATATATGTTTATATTAAAGGCTTCCCGGTGTGAAAGATGACCGCCCACACACGGCCCCAGTTCTCCCAATGTAGGATTCTAGGGTTACAAAACTCTTTCATATGGTAAGGCCAGAGTCCTTGATTTTAAAAACAAAAAATAATCAAAAATAAGCAGTTGGAAAAGTCAAAGTCCAACAAAAAGTCAAATTGAAAAGTTAAAAGCTAGACGACGAGTGGCCCGAAAGCATTTTTCATCACGTAGGAAGTCAGAGTGTGAGTTATCTGTTAAGTGTTCAGTGTGAAGTGTCAAGTCGAGTGAGTTGAGGCAGTGTGTGGGTCTCTGCGTGTGTGTGTATCTATGTCTGTGTGTGTGTATGAGTCTCTGTCTGTGTGTGTGTCCGAGTAAGTTGAGGCAGTGCGTGGGTCTCTGTGCGTGTGTCAACCTCTCAAGAGAGCCGGGTGGTCGGGAGACATGACTCAGCTGCAGGGGCGCCAGAGCAGCCGCGAGAGATGACTCAGCCGCGAGAGATGACTCATCCGCGTACTAAAGTTTGTACTACAAAGTCGCCAGTTTTACTAGGGGGGGTTTTCAGATTGCTCCGCGTACTAAAGTTGTACTACAAAGTCGCCAGTTCTCATCTTACAGCTCCCCAGATACTCCGCGTACTAAAGTTGCACTACAAAGTCGCCAGTTCTCATCTTCCAGCTCCCCAGATACTCCGCGTACTAAAGTTGTACTAGAATGTCGCCAGTTCTCATCTTCCAGCTCTCCAGATACTCCGCGTACTAAAGTTGTACTACAAAGTCGCCAGTTCTCAGCTTCCAGCTCCACAGATTGCTCCGCGTACTACAGTTGTACTACAAAGTCGCCAGTTCTCATCTTCCAGCTCGCCAGATACTCCGCGTACTACTAAAGTTGCACTACAAAGTCGCCAGTTCTCATCTTCCAGCTCCCCAGACACTCCGCGTACTAAAGTTGTACTAGAAAGTCGCCAGTTCTCATCTTCCAGCTCTCCAGATACTCCGCGTACTAAAGTTGTACTACAAAGTCGCCAGTTCTCAGCTTCCAGCTCCACAGATTGCTCCGCGCACTACAGTTGTACTTCAAAGTCGCCAGTTCTCATCTTCCAGCTCCACAGATTGCTCCGCGTACTAAAGTTGTACTAGAAAGTCGCCAGTTCTCATCTTCCAGCTCCCCAGAGACTCCGCGTGCTCAAGTTGTACTACAAAGTCGCCAGTTCTCAGCTCCACAGATTGCTCCGCGTACTAAAGTTGCACTACAAAGTCGCCAGTTCTCATTTCCCAGCTCCACAGATACTCCGTGCACTAAGTTGTACTACAAAGTCGCCAGTTCTCATCTTCCAGCTCCCCAGATACTCCCGCCTGTGCGCGATCTCCGCAGAGGGTTGCGCGGGAACAGGTCAGATCGCACTCTCGCCTGCATTTCGCGCACGCGACGCGCACGATCTCCGCAGAGGGTTGCGCGGGAAAAGGTCAAATCGCACTCCGCTCGACACGCACGATCTCCGCAAAAAGTTGCACGCGCACTGACCCAATCGCACTCTCGCCTGCATTTCGCGCACTCGACACGCACGATCTCCGCAGAAGGTTGCGCGGTAATTTCACAAATCGCCCTCTCGCCTGCATTTCGCGCACTCGACACGCACGATCTCCGCACAGGGTTGCGCGCACACCGGACAAATCGCACTCTCGCCTGCATTCCGCGCACTCGACACGCAGGATCTCCGCAGAGGGTTGTGCGGGCACCAGACAAATCGAACTCTTGCCTGCATTTCGCGCACTCGACGCGCACGATCTCCGCAGAGGGTTGCGCGCACACCCGACAAAGCGCACTCTCGCCTGCATTTTGCGCACGCGACACGCACGATCTCCGCAGAGGGTTGCGCGCACACCAGACAAATCGCACTCTCGCCTGCATTTCGCGCACTCGACACGCACGATCTCCGCAGAGGGTTGCGCGCACACCAGACAAATCGCACTCTCGCCTGCATTTCGCGCACTCGACACGCAGGATCTCCGCAGAGGGTTGCGCGCGCATACGACAAATCGCACTCTCGCCTGCATTTCGCGCACTCGTGACGCACGATCTCCGCAGAGGGTTGCGCGCACACCGGACAAATTGCACTCTCGCCTGCATTTCGCGCACTCGACACGCACGATCTCCACAGAGGGTTGCGCGCGCATACGACAAATACTCGACACGCACGATCTCCGCAGAGGGTTGCATTTTCGGTTGACGCTGTTCGTCCCACCCTCCGCCTTTTAGAGAGAATCTATAAGGTGGGGAAATGTTTTTCAAAATGTTTTTCATTAGTACATCTCCCGTGCAAGTTTTCCATACTCATACTTGCATACTTGCACTTGGATACTTACACTTGCATACTTACCCTTGGATGCTTTTGTTCAAGTGCAAGTGTGGAAGTGTCAGTGTGTAAGTGTAAGTGTCGAAGTGTCAGTGTTCAAGGGATTTTCTGGAAGAACCCTTCGCAATGCTTTCGGGAAAAATGAAAGTCACAAAAAATGTCGAAAAGTCAAAAACAAGTCAAACATAGACCACAGCTCGAAAAAGTAAACTTTAAAAAAAAAAAAAAAAAAAAAAAAAAAAACGAAAAAAGACAAGAAAAATGTCAAACAAAAAGTCAACCACTCGGAAAAAAGAAAGTCGAAAAAACATGTCAAAAAAATGTCCAAAACAAGTCGAAAAAAGAAACGCGAAAGAAAAAAAAAACGTCATAAAAATCGGATCTGGGCAAATTGACCTTTTTTGACTTTCTGAAACTTTCTGATTCTATTTTCGTTTGACTTTGACTTTTGGGATTGACTTCTTTTTGTTTTTTTGACTTTTTAAATTGTGAAAACAGGCTCTCTCCAATGAAAGATTTAGTACTTCTAGGGGGTAAGGGTTGACGTGAGTTTGTGCTTCAAGAAGCATAACTTTTGTCTGGCCAGTGTATGTGTATGTATGTACAGTATGTGTATGTATAATATATATATATACATACCATATATGTGCATACATCCACAAAATTGGATTCCAAGCCCAGATTGCAACAACTCACGTTGTAAGAAGCGGCCAAGTCACCACTCCGGTCTGTCTGGGAGCGTTTTGAGATACTCTCGAATCTCCTCTGCTCGGCCTTTCGCCAGCAAACGACCCGGGTTCGATTCCAATCGAAGATCGGTTTGAACCTGGCACCCGAAAGCAGCTCCAGCCTCCGCCTTGTAGGTCGGGCGTTAGACCTACGGTCTTGGGCAGGCCAAAGCGAACCAGGGCCTGAAAGGGTGTGCAATCGGTGAGCAACCTGTCGTAGGTGTGGTGGAGCTGTAATTTTCATGTATCCTGTGGTGGTTTCCTATGATAAGATCCGCAGTGGAACTGCTGCGATCTGTGGTGATACGACGGGTCAAAACACCTTGACATCCATTGAAAAGCTGACTCCTTCAGAAACAAGATCTTCACTCCCTTCGATGTCAAAGGCGGGACGTCTATTACCGGAATGAGCCTTGTCCACAGCATCACGTCCGGTGTTGTTTTCCCAAAGACGCCAAGTAGAGGAGAGAATGATATCAGCACCTGTTTCTCTGTAGATCATTGCCAAGGCCTGGACAACCAACACCAGGTGAATTAATTGTTTGAGAAAAGCTTAGTTGGTTGATCACTTGTGATTAGCATACTGTACATCTTCCTCAAAAACACCTCACCTCCATGCAGGGCCTTGCAAACGAGGTAGGAGCGTAGTTTGCCGCATGGAGCACCTGTCGGACATGAGGGCTTGAGACGACCTTCCGGAATTCTTTGCCCGCTCAGCTCAAACAAAGATTGCAAGTTCAACATTGCTCTGCTCTCCGGGGCAGGAACTCCATCGACATCAAGGAACACAATCTTTCGTTGTGCACCGCGCACTACTACCTGCACGAAACAACGTCTATCACTGAGCCAATGAAAGATTCCGTCAGAAGTCCCACTACAGTACTCAGTAGTCAATATTGCTTCAAAGCCACAGGTGAGATAGGGGGCGAACAGCGCCATCTTTGCTCCTTCAGAGAAGATGCCTTGGAATTCTGAACCATTTTAGAATTGTGTCCTTGCGGCTGCCATCAGACTTTTGTCGACGTGCCCGAGAAACAAAATCAACAAGCCACAGCCAAGTCGTCCCTTCATGCTTTTTGAGTGAACATCCTAAATAGCAAAATGAAGCCGCAGCGAAACGAAAAGCAAGAAGCACCAGAAAAAGAAAGAAAGTGCAGGACACAAACATGACCTGAACAGCTGCTTTGACGTCACAAGGCAAACACCATTAAAAAATAGGCAGAATAGCCACGAAACCATGCAACCATGTCCACTCATAACACCCAACGATGACTAAGACTAGAAAAAACAAAAACATTTGACGATCTCAAACATGACCGGGACTCCACAACAATGACTGGGACCGCTGACCTGTCACGAGGGGCGCCGCTCCCTGGCCTCCCGACACCAAGTATGCCGCCAGGTGGCTGTGGTTGTGGACAAGATGGAATCGCAGGTCGTCTCCGAATACGATTTGTCCCTCGTTGGTTTCTCCTCAACAAAGTACTTCTGACATGTGTGATCTTGAAGAATAATGATGTTGAATCTTTCGAAGATCTTATCATTCTTACCAAAGCACAGTCCTCGTCCTAGATTCTCCATTCACAGCTGTGAAAAGGTTTATCATGTCGTTGAGTGGTGCCCACTACTGCCGTGATCAAGCACAAAACAGCAAGCCAAGCGGCTAGGGACGGGGTGAGACACGAATCGACTCTCTCCGAATCGAAGTGCCCAACTGGTAATGATTTCACCTCAGGGACATGGTTCACAGTTTGCATGTTTCAAGGTGAAAGAATCCTAGTTAGTTCGCACATCCAACGCCACTATAAGTGTTCCCCGTCATGTCCTTATGAGGTGTTTCAGTGTGTCAGTGGCAATCATTGGTTTCAGTGTGTCAGTGGCAGCGCTGAATGTATTCGGCCAAGATTCGAACACGACAGGACATGGATCCTTGCAGGGAGGTGAAGGAGGCTGCGCCGGAATGGGCAGCAAGGAGTTGCTCAATGTCCTGCTTCTCGGCCGCAGCTCCTTAAGCTGGTGGCGTTTTGGAATCCCAAGCCCCTCTACACAGGCACCCTGCGCGCTCACCTGCGCGCTCACCGCACAGGATTGTCTCTTTTTCAAGGGGCAGCAGAGCTCTGATCCTGGTATAGGTCCAGGTGAGTGAGGGTGTTTTTTCTTTTAAATATGTCAGCTTCTTTGGTTAGGTTTGGGCATATACTAAAAACTAGATATTTGACGGGGAGCACAGAGGCAGTGTCCCAAAAGCATGCCGCCTTCATATGACCTGTAAGACCGTCAAAGTCAATGGAGTCATACATTGTGTCATACGTGTGACAATCAGATGACTGTCATACATATGACAGTCAGATGACTGGGTTGCCTTGGGACTCATTGAGGGATCGGAGTGATGCCGTGATGCCTTGAATTGAATTCAATATTGTTCATCACTGACTCATCACTGACCCACTCCCATCCCTTCACCAACCTAAAAGAGACATGGAAGGGTCTATGGAAAAAAAATAGCCCATGAGGCTTCTGCTGTCAATAGACATGCAACAAGAGAACCAGCAGCTTTCGCCTGTAGCTGTAAAACTTAGGTCCTAGGTAAAGACAAGGCAAAGCACGCCTCAGCTCAAGCTCACCTTTCCTCCTTCCTTTGCTGCTTCTCCTTCTAACTCTTATAGAAAAACCATAAGAAACAAGTTTGGCTTCCCAGGAAGGAAATGAGAAAGGTAAGAGAAAAATAAAGACAGGAAAAAGGATACATATATATATATATAACTATATATGTATATCACAAATGAGATGGCAATCAGACCTCAACTACTATAAACAATACTGTAACACCAAACACAACAGCAAGTACTTCCCATGGCTTCGATGAGATGGACACTAGGCTCAACCTTTCGGGACATGCCAGGGAGCTTGATTCTGCGCCGACTTTGATACTAGTAGTATATACGCACGAAGGAAAAATGACACCCAAGCAATGTGTTTGTTTCAGCTCTCTGATGGTCTATTGGATCTCATATGCGGCCGAGACCTCTAGTTCGCAAAGACCCGCTTTTGCAATCTTCAATACTCTCAATTCAGTGCACTTTGCCGAGATGCACAATTTCAGTTTTTCTGTTGAACACATTTATCGCTCTGGTTTACATGCCTCATATTGTGCCAATGGGGAGAAGCCTTCATAAGACTGCCTTGCTACTAGGGCATTTGGGGCCAGTCTTTTGCTTCACATCGCTGATGGCACTCTGGAAGTAGTATGGCATCAGAATTGAACTGTGTGCACCTTCTTGCATGTGCAGTTTTTGCTGCGCTTGATGTCCGCCAGGCTTAGCAGTGTTTACATCATGAATTTGTTACCTTTAAGGAACAAGAAGCTATATACTAGCAACAAGGGCATCGCTACTAGTAGCTCCTGTCATTACTAGCAGCAAGGACGCTTCGAACGTAGCTTCGAACGCTACACCTGTCATATTCTGTTGGGACTCATGGAGACATGGCATTGCTTTAAGGCGAAAGTGACGACCAGCACGCTGGCTAAAAGGCACGGTTGACCAGCGCGCTCACCCCGCATCGCAATCGTGGATCTTTCATTTGGGGTGAAGTCACCTAGACTCTATGCTGAATTGTGAGCTTCTGGCTGGAGCGCAATGTGCTTTGATGCGGAGGTTGCATGTGGGTACCGTGTCCTGAGCCATATGTGATGGGTCCTTTCCTGCGGTCTTTGAATAAAAGTGCTGGCTGAGGTGTGTTCCCGTGTTCTTCCTTGGATTCTTCCGTCTTCCACGGCTCTTTGCTCCTGCCCGACCTTTGGTTTTGTCGGCACAAAATAACCACAAAATCCTATGGATGAAGTTGTTGGTGTCAGCCTTTCAGTGTGGCTTGACTTGTTGCAGCGACGGGTAACCTTTTTCTGAAGCAGGGCCTACTGCCTCAGTCCTAGTCCTAGTCACTGCGAAGGGTCCTTTGCCTGCCTCCAAACCAGAACGCCTTTTGAAAGCCGGTAGCAACCAGCTGCTTCCTTTAACAAAATATGTTTGAATGTCAGAGTTCCCGCCATTGCCTGCCTTGCAAAAGAACAATGATGTGAGCATTCATGGTATTGAAACCAATGCAAAATGCCTGTAACATGTTCATCTTTCGTACTCTTCATCTAGTCTATGCGTGTATCCTCACCATGTGACTTACATCAACGTCCTCGCTTTGCCAAGGTTCCAGCAAGTCGGCATCGGGACACGGATCATTCCACGGGGGCAAAGGCGGCTGGAGTGGAGCGGGCAAGGAATCACTGGTCAGCTTCCTGCTTGGCAGGTCCTTGGGCCGGAATCCTTGATCCCAAATTTTGAAAACAGCCAACTAGCCGCTGGTCATGGATGTGCCGTACCCTACAAGGAGTGTCAAAATTGAACACTAATGCAACATTGCCATCCCGGCATGCGTTCGTTACACTCGCAAACAAGCATTGCTGGAGCTTGCCAACAAGTTCCACAACAGTGTTAGCACAAGACTGGACATAGCAAGGAGAAGCAAGCCTTGGGCAAATCAAGAAATATGCAAGAAAGCCAGCTCGCAACCCACATGTGCAGACGGGCATGACAATATATGTTCACATGCTTGCGTGCCATGTTGACCTGCAGTCAGTTTGGGAGGCGGTAAGCAGCAGCAACAACAACAACAGCAGCAGCAGCAGCAACAGGAACAGCAACAACAACAACAACAAGAACAACAACAACAACAACAACAGGCACCATCTGTGAGGCACAGCAGCATTGCAGTGAATTTGTAGGACGGGCACGTATCCGTTCACTCGCTCCATGAGCGTGATGCACCGGCTGGTACAGCTAAGGGTCCAGAACACCACTCCACACACTTACTGTAAGACAGATCTATGTACAACGCTGTATAAATGCTTTCTACACAGAAGCGTGCCCTTGGGCCACAAGGAGACAGAAGCTCCCATAGCAACAGGCACGTCATGTTCAAACGACATAGAGGATCACCATTCACAGGAAATGTTACCAACGTCTCCCTGCGCTCTCATACCATGCCAGTGCTTCTAGGTTGGAGGTCATCGCTCTTAGGTTGGTCACCATTAGTTGTGTCTGATTGAAAGGCCAACGATGCTGGACGCCGAATATACTTTACTGTAGAATTCGGACTGCAGAGGTCCTACTTCTAAGCAGCTGCAGAAGGCCACCTGGCACAACAGCGCAATGGCGCGAAGCAAAGTACATAACTACGACCAGTACTGCCTGATGACCCTGGACCCCAATTGATGTCCATGAAGTGTGGATCCTTGGCCAGTTCGTGCAGACATAAACAAGTTGTGGCACGGGGACACCTTCCCCACACCACCCATGGCCTGGCCACTCAAGCAGGGCGCACTGTGCCAGTGAGGAAACATCACAAAGTGGCAAGGCCATCTCTGGGGACTACCTTTATGGATAGAAGTGAGATGTCCTGGGAGGGGGGACAAAAATAGGCATCGTGCGGCATACCAGCACAGCAAACAAAGGGCGAGGCACAATCGAAAAACAGGGAGACCATCTGAATTTGATCGAATTCCAGCCTGTTGACCTCTTGAGGTGAAAAGGTAGGCTATCTGCACAAGCTGTGTTTGAAACCGTACGTAGCTGTACTTTATCATCCTGTCAGAACTGGTCATGCTGTGGGGTTCCACGTTGTACCAGCACAGTACTACAGTGCACTTCATCGTGGGGAAGCACTTGATGAATCTAAATAATCTAAACATGTAAATACGAGCACTTCATGCAAACCCAAGGGCTCCAAAGTCAGGTTGCGGATCCTCCACAGGAGGCTGTGGCGGTTTTTGCTGGGCAAATTGCCACTGCATGACCACCGGAAAAACGCTGCAAGCCAAAACGCCGCACAATGAAGGCTTCTGATTTATTGCACGTGAAAAATCTAGCCCTAGTCCAGATTTCCACGCTATGCCTTTCATTTCCTGCTTGTAAGAGCCTCAGTACTGGTCATCAAGCAAATGCATCAAATTCGTCCCAATTCATCCACACTCAGCCCTCAAAATATGGGCCTCGTGGATGGCTTGGATGCGGCCCGTGTAGAACAGGACCCTCTCTGTGAGAGTTGTCCTCAGCAATCTATCTCCAAATCTGCTCACGCAGCTTCATCCAGCAAAAGGCGTGATTGGATATGTTGGAAACGACAAAGCAATGCTCAAGATTGTCTTCGACCAAGGGGGTGGCTAATTGTGCAGCTCGTGTGTTGGAAATTGGAGAGGTACTTGGAGGAGGATTTGGTGATGATTTTGGCATTGGACATGCAGATGATGCAAGGCATATTGAAGGCATCAGGAGCTCATGAGAAAGATTAATTGGAAGACCTATGCTGGCGGCATTTGGACCAACACTTGGCCATTTTTGGAAGTGCTTGAAGACCAACGTTTGTAGACAGATTCGGCTGGAATACCACCGTCAGAAGGAAACAAGGGGCGTGTAAACAACAGAACCAAACAAACAAACATTTCTCTGAAACTCTACAGTGTGGTCCAGGAACTGTCTGACTCTGACGCAAACTTGGCTTGCGGCTTGCCACTGTCTATGTGTGCCTCAGTGACAGGATCTCAAACTGTCTCACCTATGGGTGCCAAGGCGCCTTCCAGTGAGACTCATCAGATTGGTGTCAAAATCTTCAATATCAGCCTTGCGCCTATCTCAATGACAGGCCTTGCGCTTTTCAGTTAGTTCTTGGAGGCCAATAGTTAGAGTTATCAGTTGTCAGCTTCTTAGAGTTTCATCATGGCTCCCTTACGCTAAACACAACTAGCCGGGCCACTTGTACGCTCAGTGCCTAGTAGTGCAAGCTCAGAATGCCACCGAGATCCCAAAATTCCGCATTTTGGACTGATCGGCCTCGGGTCAATCCGTAAAAAAGATAAAAAAGAAGGTTCTGGCAGCATGCAGTTGGCAAGGTGCAAGCAGGCCAATTAGACAATACTTGTATACAAACATAATGCAAAAATACACTTTTCGATTGAAAATGCATCAACAACAAATAGTGAATGTTGGCAGTCTTGGAGAGAGGCTGGAGCTGACGCAGTAGCGGCGTATCTAGCACTGGGCACCTGACTGACAGAAATAAAATGACATAGGAGTGCTAGGAGAAAAAGGCATTTTCACTACTTGGTGCTGTCCAGCAAAAGTCCTCAGAAATTTGCTTCTCTTCAGTCTACAATTCAAGGATGCAAAGCTTGAGTGTCCCGAACAAATGCATCTGGGATTGAGGCACCAGGGAGTCAACCTTTCAAATAGGCCTTCAACACATTAAAACTATCACGATGTTGGATTGATTGGGGAAGCGTCTGGGAAGAGTCTGACCCAGTGACCCAGTGGATTATCCAGCTGCGAGCTTGTGCCAAATCAAAATACAACTGCCAAGCTACAGCCTTTTGTCCACTCTGAATCTCAGTGTGGACTCTGGTTGGTTCATGGTCGCTCTTTTCTTTTTGGTTGCTTTGCCCTCTGCCCTGCAGCGAACGTTGGCCACGGGTGGGCAAAACTTCAGAGCTCCAAGCAGGTTACAAAGGTGTGGCTCCTGAGTGATGGGTGCAACAAACTGCCAGGAGAATCCAAGAGACAAGTCAAGGGCCTAGAGTTTACATCACCACATCGAATCTTGATATCAGTCCTGAAGCTTTGGCACCTTACATGTCCAGGCTCAAATTCCTGCGGTCGAGAACTCGTTGGCTTGCAGGATCCACGAGCAGGCCGAGGGCTGCCTTGGCTGGTAGCGCTCATAGCGAAGGGGATTCGAAATTCAAACAGCCAATGAGTTGTGCTGTCCATGTCTTTCCTCTTTGCATCTCAAAGCTGCTAAAGCCATATGTCCAACGATGGCATCATCAGTGCAGGCATCCTGAAGATATTCATCCCGGAGGAAGCCCCCCCACAGCACACCCCACCCACCCGGCATTCGATGTCCTCGGCCTCATCAAGAAACCGGGACTCTGGAACAATGGTCAAGGCAGCCTCACTAGTTTGACACTTGGTGCCTGCTTCTTCACGACTCTTTACAAGTTCACAGCTCCTTGGTCATTGGTTGAAGAACCTGGTCCCCTCATCGAGACCCAAATGCCACCATGAAAACTAGTACATGTAAGAGGTCATCAGACGCACCAAAAAATGTTTTAAGACGGCTTTGAGACGCTGTGAGAGGCTCTGAGGGATAGACAACACCTCTTCGCCCCAGGATGGAAATCTCCACCTCGTTCGGTCAGACTATCAGCCGTTATCAACCCGTCTCAACACAACCACCCCGCCGTGGCTAAACTCTTTCACACTCTGTACAACAAAGACGGAAAAAACAAAAGCAATGAGTGAGTAGGGCGAATCTTGGAGATGTGAGCAGGTATCTGGGAATGTGATCCAAACAGATCTACAATCTTGCACCTCTTTCATGTTCATCGCGTGCGGCGTGCGTCAACTTTGCTGTTTCATACTACAGCTAGGGTCCACCTCGTACACGTCATAGGCCTGGCACCCATTTGGTTTGGCAGGAAAGAATACCTCAAACGCATTCTCATAGTCTTTCTACTTGGATCATGCAAACAAGCACAACCAAAAGCAAGAGAGAAATTCTACACGTCTCCCAGCCTCAGCTCCAGTGACTGTCTCGTAGAAGACGTTCCGCTGTATACACCGCAGAGGCCCGATCTTCCGAAAAAGCCCCTGGCCAACTGGCTAGGGGCTTCCCCTGCGTGGAGTCTATTCGAAAGACACGTTTGGAAAAAAACGAGTTCGACTCCAAAGGCCTCCCGGAGTTCACAATCCGAAGAGCCCGTGTCGACCAGCGCCCTGGAGACCACCTTGCCACATGCTCGGCACCTTGCTACTAGTAGCATCCTTGCTGCTAGTAGTAATGCCAGGAGCTACTAGTAGCTTCTTGGCACCTTGCTACTAGATGCACTTGGGGGAGCAAACGGTGAGGAAGGCACCACACTCTTGGCTGGATCGGCAGTTGATGTGAAACTGACCTGGACGATAGCACAGATCACAGCGTCGACCATTGCTTTGCTTTTGTCTTGCACCCAATTTGCCTCTACGTATGTCAAGGGCGCAGTCAAAGCGGTAGGCGCTGCCTGAGGTGTTTGTGAGGTGTTTGGCCACAAGTTTCCTGCTTTCCAATCCGATTGGTCTCAGTGCATTAAAATCCAACACTCCAACATGTCACAATCATATAACCAGCAGCTTGTGATCAATCAATGGGTGCACTTGGTCCAGCCTGAGTTCGAGCTACGGAAGCATCAAGTTCATGCTGCGGCAAAGAGATAGCAGTCCTTGAAAGGTCTGGATGTTCACCACGCGAGACAAAAAGATCTAAAAATATATGCATCCAGGCATTCTTGCAAACCTTTCTCTACGTGCGATCTAATGCTCCGCAATGTCTTGTAGGGCAAATTTATTGCATCATAGCAACACATTCCATTGAGTGTGCACGCATGTGTACATGTTTAGGTGTCTTTGTGGTAGCAAGGCAAGGTAGATTTGGTATTGGATAGGCAACCAGGTGTGTCGATAGGTAGATACAGTAACAGGATAAGGACACACAAAAGCAAACAATTGAATTCCTTCAACATACATTCCTTCAACATACATAGGCAATGCCAGGCTAAGGTGGCATCCATAAAATGGTTTGCAAAGGATTGTTTGTCTGCGAAGAGTAAACTTGGTTCTCAATGCCATCGAAAAAAAAAAAAAACGTATGTGTTGTGTCACACTTAGTGGCAGCGCGCCTAGGATGCTGCAGAAATCTGGATGAAGGCAGGGCAAAGTCTCCTGGCGCATTTCTTTTTTTGATTCATCCAAGCCTATGTTGGTATCCTTGGAGGGACAAGCCTTGACATGCTGCTAAGTTGTGTGCAGACCACAAGCCAGCCTGAAAGCAACAATGTGGCATCTTATACCACCGTTTCACAAAAAAATAATGCATGTACACCACTCACAGTCTGCACATACATTGAAGTTGAAAGGTGCTGCTGTGGGATCTGAGCCGCCGACTAGACGAAAAAATGTACGGACACGACTCATGTATTGTCAAACGAAAAATGACCAAATATGTTGAAGAAATGGATGTGCAATAAATGGTGCTTTTGGATCAAGGAACTAGTCAGCCTTCCGGCATATTGATTTGGATCCTATAGATTTTGTGCTAATATCCAATTGTTTTTGCATAAGTCTTGGAACAGTTCGAAGAGTGCTGAGGAGACCGTGAAGAGCAGACATCAAAATGTTATCTCAGTATATAATTCGATGTGTTCCAAGCAGGCGCTGACTTTGAGAAGAGCGGCGCATTGAGTATTTACACAAAAATGTTTCCAACTACTATGAAATTACCAACTATATAATCAAACCAGAATCACCAAGAAAGGCACCAAGAGCGCTCGCGTCACCAAGAAGCGATCGTCAGCTCTGACCTGGCAGCTCTGATCGACAGGTCGTGAAATATCCAACAAATGTTCACGCTGACTCGCACTTGTTCGAGCAAGCCTGACGCCAGCATTTCCGCACAGAACGCATCATGCCCGGAGATCTCATGGCTACCATAAGTTAAGCAAGCTGTTTACAACAATCGTTGTGTAGTTTTTTGGATCCACTGTCAATGAGGGCAAACCATTTGCATTGTTTTCTTGCACGTCCAAAATGATCGAGAAAAAAACTAGGAACAAGACTGACCATTCTTTGACATTATTGAAGCACAATGACCATGCCGAAGTATGTCACATCAAAAAAGGCCTCCCATTGAGTGGTGTCACATTTGGAAAGACAGCTGCGTCGAAGAGCATGGGGCCCACAGGCCAACAAGAGGGTCAAGCTGGACAGTTCGCCAACAAGAACACGCTGTGCATGACCACAAGAATCGTCACAATTGTTATCGATTTGTTCTGTCCAAGGTTGCCACAAGTGAGTCAAAACTGACCGAAAGAAA